GGGGAGGGGAAGAGGAAGGGGAGGGGAAGAGGAAGGGGGGGCTCCTCAAAAGCTTCTTCCTATAATCTTTCCTTTTTTAAAATGCTGTTTCGCCTTTCATTTTACTTTTTGATCATTCTGTTTCCCCTTCAACCTCCCCGCGAGCGTAACGCTTATTAGATGTATGTGCATGGATTGTTTTCCCATCCTTGGTTTTTGCTTGGCTTAGCTTTTTACCTAATGAATTGCCAATGAATTAAAAAAAATAAAGCCAGGGCGGGGGAAAGTAGCATGACGCGGGCTTGGCCGCCGGGCGCTAGGAACTGTAAACCTTCTAAAACGGATGTAGTTAAACTATGACCTCTTCTATAACAAGCAAACAAAACTGACCCACATTCAGAGAAATAAAATCACATGGCTTAGACAACTGTAACAACTGTAGATAAAATGGATAGAGTCACCTGGAAATCTGACTAGATGGAGAGTTACGATCTGCAGTGGGGCCTCTTTATATAAGGCGATATAGTAAAATGTGGGTCAATGTGTCAGGAACTCCTTCACGCAGAGGTAGTCTTTGTTTGAATGGGATTGCCCTGAAATGTAACTGTTGGAAGGGCATTAAAGCTTGCCAGAATTAAGTCTCTTCTGAGTTTGGGAATTTTTATTTGGCTGAAATACCTAGCTAGCTTGAAAAAAATAGGTAAGCAATGTCCAAGCACACATCTTTAGGTATGACAGCCAAGCCTGATACATGTCTGTTTGTTATCATTCACTGATAGCTATGCAAAATCCATATTCTCCATCCAAGACAACATTATTATGCCCACTGTATTATTTTTTTCTAAGTGGGATGTTCTGCAACTAAATGATTCATCATCTCTGCTTATGCTCAGGAGCATATCTTCTAACAAGGGCTTTTGCTGAAATCAAATCTCCAGCAGAAATTTTGCTTTCAATATCCTTGGCTTTCTAGGCTGGGTCTGGGTTCTCTTAAAGGCGTCTTCTGGTTTATATAGAAGTCTGGCAACGAAAGCACGTTTGAAGAGTGAATATACTTCTGACTTTCTAAATCACAGTGAGCTTTAGCAAGGGTAATTCCTGTGATATGTAGCTGTCAATCAGTCAGTGAAATATAGCGACTCGTTCACCTATTTTAGTTGCATATTTGCCTGGATTAAATAGGAATGTTACCTTCCCCTCTCCCTTAAATTCCATGGTTTAATCACATATTAGGTAAGTCTGAATATACTTTAATTTATTCCATAAATCTTGAATTGGCTGAGAATTCCCTTTGGAAATTGATGGATTCTACATAGAAGACAGATGGCAGATGAAGAAGCCAAAGTGTTTAGCTTTACAGTTGTTTTCTTTCCTTGCTATTTTAACATTTATCATTCTTCATGAAATTATTTCACAAAAAGAGCTGGGGCCTCTGTAATATATGATTCAGATGCTATTATAGCTTTACTTACCCACCCGTTCTCCTGGATTGGAACGGTGCTGGATTTGCTCTGAATGTTCAAGGTGAAAAATGGGGCTGCCTTCTTAGTAGTTTTCATCAGGAGAAGACAGGCATTTGCAGATCCCCCCCCCCCA